CTTTAGCAAATAACGGAAAACTGCACTGCTGCTTTAGCAAAATATCCTTCACATTGGGATCTTCGTTCCTTCGTATCGATTGAAGGATTATTCTATGAAAGTGAATATATCCAGCTATGTACTCCAATTGTCTCATTGTTCTAAAAAAAATTTTAGAAAAGCTTTGAGAGTACACTCGGGTTTACAGTAAAACTTGCATGGGTTACTTGGGTTAAATAACTGTCCAATGTGTAAGAAAGTCTCGTTTGTGTCTGTTAAAGTCATATGGAGAGTTAGTTTATTAAAGGCTTTATCGTTTGCTTTTATAAGCATTTCGTTCAGTGTAGCGTCAATTTCTTCGTTTTCAGTAAGCAATCGAGATATTTTTACATCAAAATAACGTTATGATTGCCAACCTCCGTAGGGAGACGGCACTCTAAGAAGAACCTTGGTGATGATGTACAAGTGACGATTTTAAGTCCTCTATTTTGTTCCATAACAGATAGGCGAATGGGTAATTTATTGATTTTGGACAGAACTCGCTGGTGAAAACCCTAAGACTAGACCTTAGCCAGAAGGTTACACGAACTTAACTTTACTTTATCAGCGATATTTGATGGAGGTTGTTTCTAGGATGTCGTAATACTGATCAGAAAGTTCGTTATTAGCAAAGTGTATAATCTTGGCTGAATGGAATGGAATTTTTTGAAAACCTAGTATGTTTCTCTCGGCGGCGGCAAGGAGTATTAAAGTCTGCTTAGCTCTGTTGTTGGAGCTAACTATTATTCGAAGGACGTATCTTTTGCTGAGAGAACAGACTTGCAAGTTTCCCCTGCATTGTATAAGAATTTTCCTTTTCATTGTATTCGATGATGGGCATAATGCGCCTAATGCCGAATGGCCTAACAAACGACTAAATTCTTCGAATGACGTTTTTAGCATTCAACCAAAAGAATTCCAACTATCGGACTAATCCCTAGCTAGATTATGCAGATAGAGAGAGTTTACCAAGTCGCTCAGTAGTCTGACGTCAATTTTCCAGCTAACACTTTTAAAATAATTTCTTATACCTAGAAAGAAACCTGTGTGCTACCAAAGTAGCACCTGTGGTGCTACCGACGTATGTTGAGGGTCTCAACATATGTCAATATATACACCACACAATAGAATAGAAAGAATAGAATGGAATATTCTTTATTAATCCCATCAGATCAAATTGTGATATAGTACAAGTCATATAGTACATAAAGCATGATCAACGAATTATATAGGACAATTACATAAAATAAGATCAATAAAATATAGATTAATATAAAAATAAAAAAAAGATATGCAATATAGAGCGTCTCTGAACCCGACGGTCCTCATTCCCAATCGTCTTTTATTAAGTCAAAATAATCATTTCGGTTGTAAACCCATAAAAGGATCAAGCTTGCTTTTAATTTATTTTTGAATTTTTGAATATTATTTTCATTTCTTATATTAAGTGGCAAACAATTGTAAAATTTGGATCCTGAAAAATCAGGACTAGTTTCAAAGAGAGTTGTGGACTGTTTACACACGCTTATCAACCTCCTGTGTCTTGTCGGGTAATTATGAAAGTCAAAGTTGGGGGTAAAATTTTGAAAATTAGTTTTAACGTGAATAATACACTTATAAATATATAAAGCATGAAAAGTCAACAGCTATTATTGTCTATATATAATTGTCTATTATTAATATTGAATATCAATCTAAGAATTCTCTTTTGAGTTATAAAAACTCTAGAAGAGTTTCTAGAGTTTCCCCACAAGACAACATTATAGGCCATATATGAATAAACCAATGCATAATACACACTTATCAATTGATTGGTGTTAAATAGAAGGTGAAGGTGAAATCAACTGAAGGATCGCATAGTAACCCTTATTCATTGTTTTGCAGACTTTAGTGACATTTTCATCCCATGTCATATTACTTTCTAGAATGCCACCAAGAAATAATATTGTATCACCAAAAGGTATCTCCTCAGAACTAACTGTGGGATGATCACAGGATGTATATAACCATGGGATGACTAACAGCGCGAGTAGAACTGCATACAAATAGTTTTCTTTGCATTTACCATTAAAGAGTTCCTTTTACACCAGGTTGTAAATTACTGTGCTACTAAGTTCATTTTCGATATGAGTTCGACTTCAGTTGACTCGTCAACTACAATTGTTGAATCATGTGCATAAAGAACTATATGGTCCAGTTAAAAAAATTGTCAAATTATTGATACATAAAAGAAATATTAAGGGTCCCAATACGGAGCCTTGCAGTACATCTTGATCAAGATTAAAAACAGATGACTTCTTGTTACCGACTTTTACTAGGAATTTACGATGTTGTAAGTATGACCTTAACCAGTTCAAGAAATGACCCCGAAAACCAAGGGCAATGTCAATAGAGTCAAAAGCCTTAGTAAAGTCAAAAAAGAGTACACCCACATACCTTTTTCGATCCAAAGCAGCGTGGATATAATTAAATAATGAAATAGAAGCACTCACTGTAGATTTATTAGGAAGAAACCCATGCTGGCATTTAGTTAAGATATCATATTAATTCACAAAATTTAACATTTTACCGTAAATACATTTTTCGATAATCTTAGAGAGTACACTTGTTACGGTGATTTGTCTGTAATTATCAACCAAACATGGATCTCTTGGATCTCAAGGAACTTTTTGAAAATTGGACTAACTAATCCCGTTTTAAGGTCACTTGGAAACTTGCCATCCTTGACAGATAGGTTGATGATGTGAGATAGAACAAAAGATATATATGAAGAAATGTATTTAATTATATTAGTGGGGATTTGATCAATACCTACTGAGCTGGTATAGTTTAAGGAAGATATAGCATTCTCAATATCAAATGGTGAGACAGAAAAAAAGAAAAAAAGAATGTGTTGTTAATTGTCATAATTGTGAAATCGTTAAAGGTATAGTTATTGAAATGTTTTAATAATGTGTGTTTGACTGATGTACAAAAATACTCACCAAATTTGTTTGCTATGTGTTCTGGATGTATCAAGAATTTATTATTATCAGTAATACTCCACTCAAAATTGTTTTTATTTTTACCAGTTTGACGATTTACAGTCTTCCATATCTCCTTCCTTCTTTTATTATTATTTTGATTATGTAAATAACTTTGATAAGAGTCCTTTTTTATATCCTTTACCTTACGGATAAAGTTGGCCTTTTGGATTTTATAGTTATACATTAAATCTGGATTACCATTAACATTTGCTAGCCAAAATAAATCTTTCAGCTTTTTTACTAAGCTGAAGAATTTCAGTATTGATCCATTTTCTGTTGATATTAGTAGTTATGCGTTTTGATTTTAAAGGACATGTTGTATCAATATGATAGGAGACAGAGTTCAAAAAAGCTCTATATGCATCATCTACATCATTTGAACATGTATAAACATTTTTGAAATTCTCAGAATCAAGACTCAACAAAAGATTAGACAAACAATTCTTCGATAAGTTTCTATAAATAGCTATCTGGAATGTAGCAGTATTGTTACTCTCAGATATGTTTAAACTAAAATGAAGTCTTAGATGATCATCTAAATTGTAGTTCACGACAATATTGGTAAGAAAATAATCTAGTTTCAATCGTGAAATTACACCGTTTTTGTTTGTAAATATTCTAGTTGGTTCAGTATTTTTACAGTTGAGTCCAAAACTAATTATGAAATCCATTAATATAGATTTTTCCCTTGAATTTTAAGATCACCACAAAGAATAATACAATCATATTTAACGTAACAAATATTAAATATATGATATAATTTATGTAGAATATCTCCCTGGCTGGCTAATCTTAGGAAGTGGACTGGTCTAACGTCAACTGGTTTATTTCGAGCTGCTGTGAATAGAATAAGATGGGTCAATGTAATCGCCAACATCTCTCGAAGATAGGCACATTTAGAAGAATCCAATTTAAAGCTTTGAGGTTTGAACCACACTGGTTCTAGCATCTAAAAACCGTCTCACATTATGCAGAGAATATCTGGCAAGCAAATACTTTCTAATTCAACATTATCGGTGCACTTATAATGCTAAAATAATTAATCAGAGGCGGCACACGCCCTTCCGTTAGGGATCTACGGAGGAGTACCACCGAGCCGCAAGCCCTTATCTTTTGCCGTACTGCTCCACCATAGGCCGATCAGATACCAGCATATTCTAGTCTAAGCCGCTATATTCTAGTCTAAGCCGCAGAATCATTTAGAATTTTAAACTGCTGCGTTAGCCTTTTTGTTTTCTGTACACCGAGCTGGGGATCGAACTCACATCCACTGGGCCACTCGCAGTGAAGGGAATGAGAAACCGGCCGCCCAGCCCGCTTGGCTATCTGCCCGACATAAACGAATTCTCCGCGATTTACAAAAACATTTTTGTAAATTTGCAATGAAATTAAATTAATAAATTCTCCTTAGAATCCCATTTGGGAATCATTGGCCATACCACATCTGACAAGTGTTCTACCTACAAACATTATTATTCCTAAATACCAAATAAAATTTTATCATAATACTCTCAAGGAGATCTTAAGTAACTATTCAGATCACGTTTGCAATCTATACAGATTGGTCAAAATTAGTAACATGTACAACCAGTGCTTACTTTATACCAAAAATTAAGAAAAAAAAAGCATTTACTTTAATTATATTTATTTATTTATGGAATAATATTGGAATTTAAGTAGTTTATGAGAATTAACCAATAAATTTTGTCAAGAATATTAATTTTTTGCATATGATAATCCAACTGACGTCAGAGAAAATTATCGTAAAAAAATCACTACTCTAATAATAAAAACTCGTAGCGGCAAAAGTGAACGCCACTGCCAACATCCAAAACTCCACCGACCTATTTTTAGTGCGAGTACAATCATGAACATTCTCCATATGTTTTCCTGTATATACTCATTGGCAACCTCTCATTTCGCGTTTTTCTTTTTTAGAGTTCCTAAAGTATTAACATGGGAAACGTACCTAGTTCGTATTTCGAAGAAAAAATCGACGACCCTTTTTGGTCCAACGACGCATCCACATCGAAAACAGTCGCAAAAAGTTCGTCAAGCCAAAATTTGGCCAGTACGAAAACAAACTTAAGCGAAGTTGGTGAGTACGTTTCTTTTGTTTGTATTTTTATACCAGTAACCCGAATTTTTATTCGTATAAACAATTATATAGGAAGTTTATTAATATTGATATGACTCAGCATAATACTTATTTATTGCCGTTTTATTATATCTAACACTTTCCTGGATATTTCAACACAATATCAGATTAAAAAAAAAAGATTATTAGGAAAATTGGCTTGAACGCATATTAGCATTTAGTGGTGGATTTTAAATATCTAACAAAAAGATTTAATTTTCCGAATAACCATCAAAACTAATTTTCCTTTGAATAATGGATTTTGTAATTAAATTTGATGACGTCGAATATGATTCTGCAAAGACTTTTCTTATACAGTTTGTATAATACCGATATATCCACTAATTAATTTAATAGGTCACAAAAATGTAAAGGTTCTAGATTCGAATATGGAATATTATATGACTCAGCGAGGTTTGGTAAAGTTTAGTTAGGTTAGGTTTGGTTAGAGTAGGATGTAAATTGTAGATTGTAGATTGTAAAGACAGGAATCGCTTGTCGTCTTAACCCTGGAATATCACACCTATTTTTTTGACATACACCTCACATATGGGTATCAGATACCCATTGATTTTTTTTTTGAAGAAATAAATAAAAAAGTAAATATTTTATGATTTCCAGGGACTATCTAGACACTATTAAATACACAAGAATCATTAAATCAATCATTTTATTTTCTCTCTCTTAATTGTAGTAATACAAAAGAAAAAAATATTAAAAATGTTTAAAAATATTTAACAAACATTTTCTAAAAAACCAGAAACCTAATTCAAAATATTTTACCTTAATATAACAACAAAATGGTCTTTCTAACTAAAATCGAACACCTTTTGATTATAGAACTCATAGTCATTCTTAGCCAGGTATTTCAATTTCACTCATTTTGGTGACTGCATTCACAACACAGTTTAGCTCTATGCTCCATGTAGTATGCTTTATGGCAAGCCGAGCATGCATGCTTCGTTTTTCTATCTTTTCCTTTGCAGAGATAACACCTAGTTTGCTTCACTAAACTTGTGGGATGTTGTGTTGGAAGGTCTTCAACTTGGAGAATGCCACAAATTGATTGCCTGAGTGATTTCGGTAAAGAAGGTATTTGAAGTCTCTCTCGCATTAGTGGTTCAATTAAAGCCATTCCCAAAGACTTCAGAAAAGATTTTCTATTATTAGATGCAGTTTCTTTCCAATGGGTATTTGCGAGAGAAAATAGCACCATTGCATTTATGCCACTTGCATCAAGCATGTTAAAAAAAATTCTTAGTGGCCATCGTCTGCATTTTCGTGATGTAGTATAAGAATGGCATAATTGATCGAACGTATCTGTACCTCCTTTTGATTCATTATAGGTGTGTATAAGGTTTGGTTTTCCTGTATCAGCATTTAATGAATTATCATGATGTAATGTTGACAGCAAGAGAACCACTTTTTTGGGATTTGGAGTGTATGAGATGATAGTTTTATTTTCGTCGAATGCAAATAATGATGTACCTACTTCTTTTTTACTGAGAAAAGACGTTGGAATTTCTCGTTTATTTTTTCTTAGTGTACCCAAGATAGTTAGTTTGAATTGTCTCATCATTTGATCAGCAAGAGGTATTGAAGTAAACCAATTATCTACTGTTATATTTCTGTTGGTTCCATGTATTGGTTCCGACAATTTCCGAACGTAAAAAGCTGGTACTGACTCCTTATCCTGTGTTTGGACTTTTCCAATATATGGAATAGCGTTAACCATATAAAATGTTTTAGAGTCATTCATCATCATTATCTTTATTCCATATTTGTCGGGCTTACTACTCATATAGATTTTAAATGGGCATTTCCCCCTGAATCCTACGAGCTGTTCATCGATAGTACAATGCTGAAAAGGGGTGTAGTATGATGTACAGTTGCTTATAAAGATTTCCCATAATTCGCGTATGGGTGCAAATTTATCCGCTGCTTTTCTTGTTGCTCTTGTATTTTTATCATCAAACCTTAGGCATACAGCTAGAAATGCAAACCTCTGCTGCGACATAGTAGCACGAAATATTCCATTTCCAAATTGTAGGGACCAAAGTTCATCAACACTAGAGTTAGAAACACGTAATGCACCAGATATGAACAATAACCCAATGAAGGCTTTAACTTCTATTTTATTTGTCAATTTGGTGTAACTTTGCGCTGTGATACTTTCACGTTTGCGAATGATTTCTTCATTTATAAAAAGAACGATAATATCTAACATTTCTTCATTAAATAGTAAGTTCCAGGCTTCTTCAGGAGACTGAAGTATCCTGGCATTTCCTTTGCCGCCCGGTAAACGTATAACAAGATTTGCGGCTGTTGTACGACCACGCCTTGAGGGCTGTTCTGTAGACCAACGATGCCCGTTTTTTCCAAGTAAACTTGCAACATTTCTCACTGGTTCATGATCTGTTTCACTATCACTTTGTTTACTTTCATCAGTGTCGGTATTGGAGTTTTGTTCTTCGACATAATCCTCCTCAGATTCAGAATCGGTACCAAAGGTATTTTCACCATCATCCTCGTTGTTTTCATTATCAAAGAAATGTTCAACTTCCCTTTCCAGTTCAGCTTGGGTCAACGGACGACGTTTTTCCCAGTTTTCTTTCCAGCCACATGAAGCCATTTCACTAAAAAATAATTATAAGAAAAATTAACAAATTATCGGAAACTTCACACATGGGTGCTACATACCCTAGCGCTTATTCAATAAATTCTCGTGATCGGAAATGTCGCTCAAACGAGACAGCAACTACAAACTTGTCCTTGGCAGACTACAGACTGAATTTACATGAAGCGGTATTAACATTGAAATGCGATTCGCGCATGCTACATTCAGTTAAGTGTCTCGATGGGTATCTCACACCCAAGTATGAGGTTCCAGGGTTAAATCTTTCCACACTGCGACCTGAAGTTTATTTTTTGTATAACCTGCATTCACGTTTGTGGCTTTCGAATAGGTATTAGTGCCCACTGTTTAGCTTGTTTTTGGATAGGATCTGGCTACAAAAGAAACCTTTTGTTCGCTGAGACGTTCATGTTAGCCGACTAAACTTTTTTGGTACTTTCTAAACTTTTCGCGGTTGTGTCGACTACTTTTTAGTAGTTCTTCTTCATCTTCGTAAGTATAACTGAATATACTGCACTGTTATTAATTTTTTGCACGTCCTTGTTGTGACACAATGCTCAACAAGAACTAAGCCTTGCACAACTTCTCGCATTACACAAACTCGAACGGTTTTATCCCCTCGAGCTTTCGTATTTGGGGCTGGTTGACAAGAAGCTAAAATACTTCATGGTGATGGTTCTGTTTAGGAGAATTAAAGAAATGAACTGCCAGGTTCCAAATCTATTTGACAGAACGAAGTATGTCGGATCGGCAAGTATATAATATTAATATTATATATATATATATATATATATATATATATATATATACATAATAGACTTACCTTTATATGATGGAATAGTGGCGTTCCACAGACATTCTTCCTCACGATACATTTGTCTTTTTCTTCTTCTTGAATAATTGTCCTGCATTTGGTATCTGAGTCCATTCACAGTTTTTTAACCAAGAAACTTGTTTTCCTCCTACACCTCTACGGCCCTCTATTTTGCCTTTAAGGATCAGTTGTAAAAATTTTTATCGACTTCTCTTTATTTTATTTCCCAGATAAGACATTTTTCGATGTTTAACAGTCTTTAGCAGTTCTCTGTCTTTGTTGACGCTCCTTAGTACTTCTTCATTAGTTTTTCTTGCTGTCCAAGGTATTTTCAGCATTCCTCTATGACCCACATTTCCAATGCTTCAATTTCATTCATGATCGATACTTTTAGCGTCCATATTTCTGCACTATACAAAAGTACAGACCAAACATAGCATTTAACTATTCTTTGCCTTAGTTGGTTGTTGCAAAGAAATTCCTTCATTTTCATAAAAGTAGTTTTAGTCATTGCTATTCAACGATTTATTTCTATATCTGGATCTAGTTGGTCTGTTATCACAGTTCCCAAATATGTCATTTTGTGAACTTTCTCAACTTGGACTCCGTTCAATTGAAACTTTGCATCGGGATGTGGGTCACGACTAAACACTAAAAATTTGGTTTTGTTTGAGTTTATTTTAATGCCCATTTCCTCTCCTACCTCGTAAATACGATCAAGCAGAATTTGAAGACCTTTAATATTATCTGATAGAATTACTGTATCGTCTGTATATCTAATCACAATAAGTAGTTCCCCGTTGATTTTTATTCCATATGGTTGTCTCTCAAGTGCCTTTTTAAATAGCTATTCCGATATTTTTCAGTATTTGCATTAATTTGACATGCTGTACTTTATCGAATGCCTTTTCGAAGTCCACGAAACATGCAAATACATATTTTTTTTGGTGACGGCATTTTTGTAATAGGATGTTTAGCGAAAAAAGCGCCTGCCTGGTTTCCATAGCATTTCTAAAACCAAATTGGGTATATTCAAGATCTTCTTCGCATTTGCGTCTAATTCTGTTGTGAAGTATTCTGAGTAAAATTTTAAGAGTGTGGCTCATTAGGTTAATTAATCGATATTCTGAGCATTTTCTCGCATTGTGTTTTTTAGTTATTGCGATAAAGATGGATGTGAGGATCTGCGGGAATGACTCCGGTGTTATATATTGAATTAAAAAGTCTTACTACTACTTTTATGTTATCATTCTCTGTTAGTTTCAGCAACTCAGTTGGTGTATCATCTGGACCACAAGCTTTTCTAATTTTAGCATTATTTATAGCATGTTCTACTTCGCATTTCATAATTTCTGGGCCGTCAGTACAGTTTTGGTGGAATTCGACAATATTATTCCTGTCATCTTCAAACAACTCTGATATATACCGCTGCCATTCTTTTCTTATTTCTTGCTCATTTACAATAATTTTGTTATTAGTGTCAACAAGCATAGAGGGAACTCGTTTTTTAAA